CATCCAAAATGGGGTGACATTCGGACGTCCACGTAAAATTTTTTTCAAAATAGCAACATAAAATGATTTCAGAAAGTAAAAGATGGTTTAATTTAAGTGTTTTCTCGGTGTATATCTACTTATATCATTGTATAAGTGTAATACGGTTGTGATAGAGACATTTAAAGATCCCAAAATTGCTTGACCTTGACGAGTCGAGTATAAAGCACAACCTCACGCGCTTCGCGCTATGAGGCGTGCAATAATTAAAAAAGTACAGTGCAATTTAACTATAGTCATTATTTAATAAAGCAAAACTAATTTTTTTTAGTTTACAAGTCACGGAAGTCACATAGTGACTGCAAGGTTGCTAGTTATTTTTAATTTGACATTAAAATTAGCAATCATTTGGCGATTTTTTAATTTTATTCAACAAATGAATTTGGTCCGAAAATTTATTTTTAAAAAATTTCATTTTTTATTTTTTTTAAATTCTACATGTCAATTTTTTTTCTAACTTTTTTTTTGTCATAATTTATTTTTTAAAAATATTCTTAAATTTAAATTTAAATTGATAATTTAAATTATCAAATATCTGCTAAATTCATGAGATTGGGCGTGTTTGGCCGAAGTAAGTACTTACTAAACTTAGTAAGCCAGTTAACATAAAAAAATTTAAATCTTACAAGCTATGACTATAGCGCTTTTCGGTCGGGACAGACTTACAGGCTTAGCATATAATACAAAATACCGACTTACGTTATATTCCGTACATAATCTCATAGTCTGAATATAATTGACACTGATAAATTTATTAATATAGTTTAATTCAAGTAAATAGTTGTAAGTGGACAATTTTATGAGAAATATTTAATTGGAAGAAAAGTTAAACAACCCCTTAATCAACATAACATTTAAACTATAGATTAAGTATGAACAAATGATTACTATTTCTCTTATATTAAGAATAAGTAATATAAATTTTAACGATTATTGAAACAAACAGTCAATAGAGTAATTGAATTTAAAAAATATACATTTCTTTTCTGTCTTATTGTCATACTCATAGATCTCTTCTTTTAAATGATATTTGTGAAACTTGTCATAAGTTATAATACTATCAACAATTCTTTGCTTGTATTAACTGCTTATATTAATTGTTATCAAATATACTTAACTATCTATAACAATAGATATTTAACGTCAGTCATTTTTTCTAATTAAATAAGCAGTCTCTCTTAATCGAATTATCTATACATTTGTTATAAAAGATATAAAAAAATTAATTAAAATCAGAACTACACTGTGTAAGTATAAAAAATTCACATTAATTTAAAGTATAGTTTTGTAACATCTCATATAATCTTATGAAAAAGATCTTTTCAAGTATCTCTTAAAGCTTTCTATCAAAGAAAGTAATTAAATATCTTATTGCATAGAATAACCAATATAAATTCAATTCTATATGATTCGGTCTGTTTTGTTTACATCAATAATAAACGAAAAATCGTCTTATATTAAGCCATGCTTACTGCGTTAGCACTTATTTTCTGTCCCGGCCGAAAATTTATTTAGTAAGTATAGTAAGTGACTTACTAAATTTAGTAAGTACTTACTTCGGCCAAACACGCCCATTAAATTTTGCTGTCACTTGACAAATTTTTAATTTCATTCAACAATTATATTAATTCTAAAAAATAATTTTTAAATTTGTTATTTTTTTTTAATTTCTACATGTCAATTTTTTTTTTTTTTATTTTATTTTGCCATAAATTATTGTTAACAAAAGTTCTAAAAATTATTAAATAATATCTGCTCAATTAATTTTCATGCTGAATTAATTTTATTTTTTAATTTTCACATACAATTTTTTTACTTAATTTTTTTCATAATTATTTTATTGTTATAAAATTGTAAAAAATTTTCTAATGTCATTTAACTTCACTGTCATATTTTTATTTGATATTTTGATTGTCACGATTTAATAATAATAATATTTAAAAAGTAAATTTTATTTACCTGTTGCTCTCTCATATCAAGTGAAAGCGCTTCAGACCGGTTCAAGCGCCATCTTGAACCAATAACGGTACTTATGAGAGCAACTATCGATAGTCGATAATAATATTTAAATAAATATAAACAAAAATAGATGGCGCGAAACTTAACCTAAAAATTATTAGTCATCTACAAAATGTACAGCATTCTTTTGAAAGTAATTTTCTAAACGGTCGTTAGCGTTAGTCAATGAAGTGTTTGTTTGTATTCATGCATTTATTTAAAACTATTTTTACAAAAACCAGTCAGTGTAATAAATCATAAATTAGTAAAATCAGTGCTTGAAAAAAAATCATTCGGACAGATATAAGTCCTCAGAGTAATTAGTGAAAATTTGAGCATCGAAATACTAATTCTTAAAAACCAGTTTACTATTACATATTTTATTTATTTTCTTGTTGTACTTATTGAAGATTATTATTTGTGCGTAATTATTTGTTGATAAAGTAATTAAGTTGGTGATTTAAAATGCAATCGTCGTAAAATTTTAATGACAGCGCTACGGAAATTGTTAATTTATCGGTAAGTTATTAAGATAGTTCAATTATAGCGTCATAATAATTAATAAATAGTTTAAGTTATCATTTTATAATTTATAATTTCATTAAATCATTTTTATTTTTATCATAAAAATTAAAAATTAAATGAAATTATTAAACCAACTTTTTAATAAAATTATAATTATTTACAGGAAAAGCAATGATTACTAAACGATAACATAACTGTATCCGGAGATGGCAAACAGAAGAGACAAAGCTGCTTCTGGTTTTGTAAGTTAATTATTTATATATTAAAAAAAAAATTAATTATTCAACTCTCAGACCTCCGTCCTCCTAAAATTGGATTAATTATTCCTACTGATAAGATAAGCCACGAGATACGCCTCGAAAGTATAAACAGAGTAATGTAATAAATAATATTAATAACATTATCAACAATAATAATGTAATTAATTTGATAACAGTATTGTTTTATAGGATACCAATAGCCGAGATAGATGTAACGGTAATAGCTTAACGCTTTAGGCAATTTCTTGATACACTGGAATACCTTAAGCATGGAACTCCGGTCTTTACCTTCTCCAAGTATCCGTGACCTTCTTCCTCAACATCAGCTTGCTTTTTATTTTCCTTTTCCTTCTTTAATTCGTCCCAATTTACTAAATTATTAACCAAAATCGGATCTCCTGGTTTTAGAAAAAAATACTATCACAAATCAAGGTCTGAGTTGGAAATTCCAATGAGACATTTTCTTATCGCTTGTGGTATAATTTTTTTTAACTACCACAGTTTAGATTTATCTAGGAAATTCTAATCTAATTTTAGTTTAAAAAAATTTAGACCAGATTGAAAAGATAAAACTTTTTTTTTCTAACGATATTGTTATCAAATAATTATAATTTCTGATAAATAATGACAAGAGTGATGTTATTAGGAAGTAAAATTGTTGATAGGAAATAAGTATAAACCACAAGTGACCAGCACCACCTGTTTGATAACTACAGGCATTTCGTCATGCTACACTCGTCGTTACACGTATAATCACTCATATATATATATATATATTTGTACGGATAAATGTTGCCCGGGACACAATGCGACATATTGTTATGCATGTAACTAGTGTAAAGCGTGTGTGCATATTGAGCTACTCAAGTACGGATACAATTTCTACAGTCAACATTTGTTTATTATTAATGACGTTTATAGTGTACGCATCACTGTTACTTGATAGTCGTTTGTGAGTGGCCGATTTTATTTTGGCAAAAATCGCTGAATTTTAGTGATTGGATATGTCTATCCAGAGACGCAAGAGCTGGTACAAGACAGCAGAAAAAGTAAGTTTTGTTATTACATTTATTCTATTAATGCAGTTTGCTTATTTAGCTATTTATCAAGTTGATGCGAAACAAGGTCTTGATTGTCTGGATTCTACAAAAAGAGCTGATTTCAGTGATTCTTACTATAGAATTGACGTCATGTTCATCCAAGTCCATGTTTGTCACATATCAGAGCTTCCAAAACCGGTCGTACTACATTTTGTACCTTTTTTTTTTTTATTACTCAAGGTCACTGACGTTGACCATTATTTCAATTATAATTAATAATCCATTTGTCTAATTATTTTAGCGGGGTTTAAATATTGTCAAGCTTTATTAAAATCTTATCTGGACATGACATCTGCAGTTGATAATAAAAAATATTACGCTAATTTAATGATTTAATTAACTAAATTAAATACTTACAAGATAAACAATCAATTTTACTTGCTAATTTTTGCAACTATTTTTTTTTAATAGTTTATAATTTTAAATGTTGCAATAATTTATTTAAAAATTATCTTAAAGATTAAGAAATATCTTTAAAATTTTATAGAATAATTTATAAATTAAAAGATTGATAATCATTGGTTTTAAAATTTTGATAAAATTAATTGAGATAATTATTATTAAATAATATTATACTAGCAACCTTGCAGTCACTATGTGACTGCCGTAACTTATGAACTATAGATAAATAAAATTTTGCTCTTACACTCATCAAGAGCTTTCATTTGAGTACTCACATGCATTTTTGATATATTTTTCATATATACATATGGGGTATTCCATGCCAAATCGACCACTTTTGAATTCAACCCCTTTAGATTTAGCTGAAACTTGATCATTCTTTTCTACCCTTTGGAAAACATTTTTGAGAATTTTTTTATCCAACCCAAAAAAAGGTATGAATTTCACAAAAAAGTGGCTTTTTTATTTTCAAATAGCTATAACTTTTTTAGACATTGACCTTTGGGTACCTTTTTTTTTTTTTAATTTTTGTTTTTGAATGAACTTTTCGAAAAAATACACAAAAAAAATTAAATATGATCAATTCTATAAAATAATCGGTTTTTTGAGCAAAATCGTTATTTTTTCAAAGTTGATCACTTTTTTTTTTTATTTTTTTTTCTCAAAAAAAACTTCAATCAATTTGACAACTATTCCAACTCATCCCGGGCAGGGGCGATTTTTTTTATTTAATTGAAAAAAAAATTTTCAAATTTTCGAAAATAAAAAAAATTTTATTAACATGTATTTTTGATATATTTTTCATATATACATATATATAATATATAAAAATATATGAAAAATTGATATGGGTACTCAAATGAAAAGTCTTGATTAGGGTAACATCGAGATGAGTTTATATCTTTAAAAATATCAATAGTTCACAAGATACAAGGTCATTTCTTAATTATTGACATTTTTAAAGATATAAGCTCATTCCGATGTTACACTCATCAAGAGCTTTCATTTGAGTACCTACATGCATTTTGATATATTTTTCATATATACATATATATATAAAATATGAAAAAATGATGTGGGTACTTAAATGAAAGCTTTTGATAAATGTAACGTCGGGATGAGCTTATATCTTGAAAAAAAGTTAATAGTTCACGAGATACAAGGTCATTTCTTAATTATCTATATAAATATAGAACATTTTCGAATGCAGCCTAAATACTTATCATCATAAGTTGACTAATAGTGAAAATGATATGAAACCATGAAAAGGCACAACTCCAAGTTAAGTCTTTTTCAACAATACCAAATTTAACCATATAAACCCAATTTATCATATAAATATACTGGCCATAAAATTTTGCTAATTCTCTTAATAATATAGATTAAATAATATTATATTATATTGATGCTCGATATTATCTAATTGGTTGACAACTCTAAAGTATCATTACCTAGAGTAATAAATATATAATATAAGTTTCAGTTGTAGTGATCAGTGTAAATTGATACCGGGAGGCAAGTGTGACTTGCAATTTATATAAAACCTCCTGTATATCCACAATATTATCACTATTATTGGTAATATTACTTCACTGAGAATTAAAGAAGCAGGTAATGAAAGAAAAAAACACATAAGTAAGTTAATATTAAAAGTAATATCACTAGAAGAGTGGATGTGAAGGGAGTGGTGTGAAAAGTACTCTCGATTATCTTGAGCCAGCAAAAAATAGAATTGCAACAGAGGCGTGCCTCTTGTATAGTACGATGACGCCAGTCTACACGTCTCGTGATTACCTCATCGACCTTTATCTCGGGTCTTCATTGCAAGGTGTCTGGACCATTAGCACCAACCTGAACATGAACAGTGTGAGTTAAACACCGGTATTTTCTACGAGCGGTAATTATTAATATGTTTAATTTAAATTAACTATTTACTTTTAAATTCTCAGGCGCTGGTGGGTCATGAACTGGCTTAGCTGTGAATACAAACTTTCGCCACACGTAACTAAAATCCAGCCAAGAAAGCAAGCCTTTGCTGTCTAAACAATTGGAACTCTTATTTTTACCTAAAACTGAAGATTTATTAACGTTGCTGGAAAAGTAAGCCCGTAATAAGGCTATCAGGCATAAATTCCACGGCATCAGGTATTCACAGGAGTTTTAAGGCCGGCTGAACTCGTTCCTGATAAGCAGCAGCGTGCCGAGTAAAACGGTGTCTTGCTTATTGCCGTTCTTCCTTTTTATCTCACTCTCTTTGAACTTAAATTGAGAGAGGAGTAAAATTCAATGAAAAATAAAAATAAAATTTTCTGAGAGATAAATTTACAAGAGAAAAAATTGTTGAAAAAAAAAAAAAAAAAACAAAAAAATGAACCGTTAATCATCATGTCTGATGACTAAACGTCATCGATATTATTAAGCTTGAGTTGTTTGAGTATAAAGATATGTTATATTATAATTTAATATCCTTTTAGCCGCTGATTACCCGATTATTGACAGATCGAAACGGTGGATTGGTGGGTGATTGCCGGCCGTTGACTGTCGTAGTATCTCTTACACGATTTTCACCAAGACCACAGACATGACAGCCATTTATTAAATTAAATACCGTCTTGACAGCGACTTGTTGCCGATGACCGAAACTCCTACGTCTCTCTACCTCGCTGTATATTAAAAAAAGAAAGAAGACATGAGAGAGGGAGGGAGTGAAAGAGAATTAAACGCTTACCAACGAGTTTTCTCAGCCGAGAGCATGAACCAGTCTTTCTTAAACTTCACTTCTATGCGAAACTGACCTCAGATTCACAACTAAAACGTTCTCGTTCTTTATACTCATTCCCAATCAATTAAATTATATGGTAATTTTGTCTACATGAAGAGCATTTACGCAGTACGCTATTTATTTTTTTAGTGTGTGGTTTTTTTTTTATTAAAAATTAGAGTGAATTATTTATTTATTTATTTATTGTTTTTGTTGCGTTTTTAATTTTAATACGGAAATGGATCATGAGTGCGAGTGTCATTGTTAAAAATAACCAGGCGTATTAATATTAATTATTATAATGATGGATATTAATTATAATTACAGTTCCAGTTGTCTTATAAAAATATTCCAGCCTAATAATAGTAGTGACGAAAATTTAGAAAATTGTTTAAAAAAATGCCTTTAATTTTTTAACTGTGTATTTTAAATTTTGTAATTCGTGTATTTGTCCAACATGATTACTGAATGGGTGAGCTACTATAAACACATTTTATTTGAATTTGAATGTTAAAATAACATGATACATCTGTCGATTCGTTAAATTAAATAACGACGGAAATTTATTTTAATTATTTTTTAATAACGTCACTGTTCGTTTTTATTTATTTAAATATTTATATTTTTAAAACCGTGAGGAGTTGTGGCACAAGGTCGTGTGAATCAGTTGGAATTTTTCTCAATGTCATTTTTTTAAAAAAATAACAATGTATCATTTTTTTAATGTTAAATAGGAGCTACAGAGAAATTAGATAAAAAAAACTAATCAAATGAAAAATATATAATACTTAATTTACTTTTAACGGCGCCAGTTATCGCTAAATATTTCTTGTACTTTTTTATGGAACTTTTAGTCACCAGTTATTTAATCAGAGTATTACACGTACATTCCGACAGTAAAGATAATAGACTAAAGACTATTTAATGTCACACATCACGCCTTGTCGTATTGTCTACCGAATAAGCAAAGTGTCGCTTTCAAAATGCTATCTGAATTATTTATTTATTTATTAATTATTATTAAATCAATTAACTTAATCTAGAAAGGAATTTATCAGTATTTATTTTTTTTTTTTATAAGTACCAATGTCACTTACCGTGATAACATCGTTATAATTTAAATAAATTCCACAGTTTATTTAATTGTTTTTATTTACAATGCGCTGTAATGTTTGTAATATTTTTTCGGTGAGTTGTGAATTGTTTCAGCCTTCGATGATTTTTATTTTATATAATAAACATTGTTTTCTTTTTTATATTTTTTTGTTGTAAGTAATTAAATAATAAAGTGTGAAAGTGGCGAATATTGTATTCAAAGTATTCAGAGAATTTATGTTGCTCAATGTATAGAGGTCTTTGGATGATCTTTAGTCGGTAGAAAAATTTTTGCGATTACACAATCAATTGTCAAAGACTTTTATTTTTTTCTTTTATTATTGATAAGGTCTGAGAGTTGTTTTAAGAAATTTTTTTATGTTTTACTTCTAGTAATCAATCACCTGGTAAAAGTTTACTAGAAATTCACTTCTCAGTTTGTTTTTATTTTAATGTTAATTTTTTGTTACTTTTAACTTCCGTTACAATTTTTATTTAAAAAGCAATCAAAGATGTTTTTATAAAAAATTATAGCGTTAAATTTATTTTATAGCTGTAATTTTTTAACAAAAAAAAACTATTGATTTTTATAGAGTAATTTTTTTTTTAAATTTATAGATTGGAATTTTAGAAAATCTTGGTGAAGTTTAAAGTAATAAATAATTTTATTTTTATTAAAATTATTTTATAAAATATTTTACTGACATTTTATTGCAAAAAAAAAATTATTATAAATAATAAAAATTTTTTGTTTAATTTTAAAGCTGGACACATGGTTCGGAAGACCAAAAAAATCTGGCCGCGGTGGAGGCGTAAGAAGCGGTACAGGATTTAATACAATGCCCCGTCCACATTCTGGAGATGACTTTGATGAAATTGAACAGCAGAGATCAATTATTGAGAAGATGGATGAAGAAACTGTTAATGATCGTTTTGAAAAGATGCTGGTAAGTAATAAAAAAAAACAATAAATTAATTAATTATCTTCAATAAAAAATAACTACTTAAAAAAATAATTAATTCTTGCAGGCAAACATGAATCTGACAGAAGAAAAAAAGGAGCCACTTAGACAGCAACCAGAGGCCAAGAAGAAAGAAATGCTGGTACTGCATATGAAAGGCAGTATCCAGGAAAACAGATCAAAATTTGACAAACCAGCTGATTACATTCAATATCTCGCGCAACCAGACCTCAGTGTAAATAAAATTTACAGCTGCATCGAGTCACTGAGAATAGCGTTGACAAACAATCCGTTGAGCTGGGTCCAGGAATTTGGCACCAAGGGACTTAAACAAGTTCTCGCAACACTTAACGAGTGTTATCGGAAGTACGTACATTATTTATAATTAAAGTTCAGCAATTCAATAACGTACTATAGTTACAATAATTCATACAATATATTATACAAAAGATCGTGTCAAAAGTCAATCTAATAATATTTTTTATTTACTCTATACCCTGCAGTGCCTCTATACATTTTGATAGGTAAATAAAAGACTATTAAATTAGATTAATTACAAAATATAAAAAATTTTTTTTTTAGCATTGCTTTAGAATCTAAAAATTTTTATTTTAGCCTTCGCCTTGCACGTTTATATAAAATAATTAAAAAAAATAAATTACTAATTAATTTTTGTCTTCCCACAGTGATAATCGGTACGAAAGGATCCAGTACGAGTGTATAAGATGTCTCAAAGCAATAATGAACAACACAGTAGGAATAAAAGAGATGCTTGCTCATCAGGAAGCCCTAACAATAGTAGCGCGATCATTGGAGCCCAGCAAGCCCTCGGTGATGTACGAGGCAGTAAAATTATTGGGAGCTGTTTGTTTGATTTCCAGCGACAGCCATAAAAAGGTTTTAGATGCGATAACTATGAACGGAGAGTTCAAAGGTCGTGATAGATTTTTACCAATAGTCCAAGGGCTTATGAACAAGCAAAATGAAAATTTAAGAGTCGTATGTCTTCAACTTATAAACTCAATCATTTCTTCCGCCGAAGAGCTTGATTTCCGATTACACCTGAGGAACGAAATAATGCGCGTAGGATTCGCAGATATTTTGGAATCTTTAGAGCGCGATGACTCGGAAGACTTGTCGAGACATTTAAAGATTTTTAATGATTACAAAGAGGAAGACTACGAAGAGTTTGTCCAGAGGTTCGATAATGTCAGACTGGAAATGGACGACGTTAATGATTGTTTTGAAGTTATTAAAAACATGGTGATGGAAACAGTCGCGGAGCCGTACTTCCTTTCAATTCTTCAGCACTTGTTGTTTATCCGCGATGACGTCCAAGTCAGGCCTGCTTATTACAAGCTTATAGAAGAGTGTGTGTCTCAGATTGTTTTGCATCGCTCAGGGTGTGATCCTGACTTCAGCGCGACCAAGCGATTCCAGATAGACGTTCAGCCGCTTATAGACACTCTGGTGGAAAAATCCCGAGCTGAAGAAGAGCGAAAATTAGTAGAGATGTCGCAGAAACTCGAAGAAGCGATTTCTAGTAAACAAGAAGCCGAAGCGAAGCTTGCTCACGCTGAGAATAAAATCAAAGAGTTGGAAGCTGGAGGTGCTAAGCCGATTAAATTGGCGATACCTCCTCCACCACCTATCCCTGGTATGGGAGGACCACCTCCGCCACCGATGCCCGGAACGGGAGGTCCACCTCCTCCGCCTATGCCGGGCATGGGAGGTCCACCTCCACCTCCTATGCCTGGAATGGGAGGCCCACCTCCACCGCCTATGCCTGGTATGGGAGGCCCGCCACCTCCTCCAATGCCGGGAATGGGCCCTCCACCTCCTCCGATGATGGGAGGTCCTCGGCCGCCGATGATGAACGCCGTTGAAGTTCTTCCGCACGGTCTCAAGCCCAAAAAGAAGTGGGAAGTCGATGGTCCTCTGAAGCGAGCCAACTGGAAGGCTATTTTGCCTCAAAAAATGACCGAAAAGTCCTTCTGGGTCAAAGTTCAGGAAGACAAACTCGCGAGTCCGGAAATCTTGAATGGTTTGGCGCAAAAGTTCTCCTCCAAGCCGGCAAGCAAGAAGATTGACGATGTGGTAGATAAATCCGCTCCAGCTAAGAAAATAAAAGACTTTAAGGTACTTGATGGAAAGTCTGCTCAAAATATTTGTATTTTACTGAGTGGTACGCTCAAACACATGTCCTACGAGGAAGTTAAGAGTTGCTTGCTTAAATGTGAGGGCCCGGTTATCAATGACAACGTACTCCAGGGACTGATTCAGTATCTGCCACCTCCGGATCAGCTGACCAAGCTGCAACAGTACAAAGACCAGTACGAAGACCTGACAGAAGCTGAACAATTTTGCGTTACCATTTCTACGATAAAGAGATTGCTTCCGCGATTGAGATCTTTGAGTTTTATGTTGCGGTACGAAGAGCTGGTGGCTGATGTCAAGCCTGACGTTGTTGCTGGAACTGCCGCTTGCGAGGAAGTTAAGAATAGTAAAAAGTTTGCGAGAATTCTTGAGCTTATTCTTTTGCTTGGTAATTACATGAACTCTGGATCTAAAAATGGTGGTGCGTTTGGATTTGAAATTAGTTTTCTAACTAAGGTAAATATAATAATTATTTTATTTGAAATCTAGTTTATTTATTTATTTATTTACTAGCAACCTTGCAGTCACATAGTGACTGCGGTGACTTGTGAACTATAGATAAATAAAATTTTGCTTTATTAAATAATGGCTTCTGTTAAATTGCACTGTACTTTCTTAAATATTGATGTTTTTGAAGATATAAGCTCATCCCCATCTTACACTCATCGAGACCTTTCATTTGAGTACCCACATCAATTTTTTATAAGTTCACAAGATACAAGGTCATTTCTTAATTATGTATCTAGAGATAGAGCATTTTCAAATTCAGTCTAAATACTTATCATAATAAATTGACTATCGATGAGAATAAAATTAAACCTTGAAAAGGTACAAATTCAAGACCTTTATAATGACACTAAATTTAACTAAAAAAAACCGATTTTATCATATAACTATCCTGGACACGAAACTTTTCTTATTCTCTTAATAATATAGATTGAAAAATTATTTTTAATAAAATAAATACTTCCTTTCTCTTGAAATAAAAACTTTATTACTAACCAATTAGATATTCTAAATGTATGGTAATTTTTTCAGTTAACCAGCACGAAAGACATCGAAAACAAAGAAACACTGATGCATTATCTGGTAGACACAATTGAGAGAAAGTTCCCTGAGTGTCTAAGCTTCGCTGAAGAATTGCCCCACGTTGATAGAGCCAGTCGTGTGTCCTTGGAGAACATACAGCGTACTTTGAGACAAATGGACGCGAATATCAGAAACTTGGAGCAAGATCTCACCAACTCGAAGATTCCTCAGAGTGACATCGACAGATTCGCGGAAATAATGTCACCGTTTGCCAAAAAAGCCCGTGAATCTTACGAAGTAATGCAGAATATGTTCAAAAATATGGACACTCTTTATACGGATATTTCCGAATTCTTTGCGTTCGACAAGCAGAAGTACACCATCGAGGAGTTCTTCGGAGACATAAAAAAATTCAAGGACGACTTTGGGGTATTTATTATTTATTTGATTAAAATTAAAATTAAAATTAATTAGCTAGAGTGTTTTTTAATTAATTTACCAATTAATTAATTTCAGCAAGCACAAAAGGAAATCGTGAAGATGCGCGAGGGCGAGGAGAAGCAGAGGCGCGCTCGTGAGGCTCGAGAGAAAGCTGAGGTCGAACGGGCAGCTCGTGCTGCTCGAAAACGTGCTCTAGTTGATATGAACGCCCACGAAACCCAGGAGGGAGTAATGGACAGTTTGATGGAGGCACTGCAAACTGGATCGGCGTTCAGTCGACCCGATCAGCGACGCAAACGACAAACACGAGTCGCTGGTGGTAAGTCTAAGTCTCTCAGGAAAAAAATTTTATGGTGGGCTCATAGCAATTCTAGAGAACTTTCCTCTGAGTTGATAAATAACACTTTTCCCCCTTCTGTCACTAATCCCAATGCTTTTATCAGTAATCATAATCATAATATGAATATTAACATTAATTTATCGCCAATGGTGGCTCCGGTATTAACTAATTGCTTCACGACGCCAAATGATAACGAGCAGAAGAGGAATAATTTACTTTTAAAGGCTATGCGGACTCCAAAACCCGACAAGTTTTTCCAGCGTATCAGTAAATTCAAAAAATTACGGAGGAAAAATAAATCAACTAAATCTCTGGGTGTGAGACCAGATTTACTATCGCCTGTTTTTGGAATCACACCTAAGAGATCCAACTTAGGGTATAATATTCGAAAGCATTTTAAGACCAAAAGAACAATGAGAGATAGTAATAATAATAATAATAATAATAATAAAAATAATATTAATGTATCAGCAGGAATTGAACCAGTTGGTAAAGGTTCATCAAATGTCAACAGACATATTCCCAAGATTTTAATCAATGATCAAGTTATTGAATCCAATGAGCAAGGCACTCACACTCCGTATGACTCGGTGATTAATGAACTGAAAATGCGTAATGAGTTAAAGAGAAGCGAAGAAATTCATCGGAGTAAATATGTACCAATAAATGCCAAGACGAGAAAGAAATACTTTTCATTGTACAGAGAAACTCTGGTGAATGAGGCTCGTAGAGTAACACCCGGTAAAAAAAGTCCCATTTCATTGTCAGCGACTAAACTCAATCGCGTTAGATCACGGTCCAGTGTCCGAAGGTACAGTAAAAGAAATTACAAGTTCAAAGACAAACCAAAACGTTTGAACAGTTACTTGACTCTCGCCAGTCCTATTGATTTAAATTTATCGATACCGGATGTTGATGATTATTTAACTCCCAAAGTCACTAAGTCTTGTGGCAGTCCAAGAAGGCTGGATGTAAATACTAGCGTCAGATCTAAAAGTTATTTTAATTTATCTAGAGGTTCTGATGACAACTTTGAAAATGATGATGATGATGTTTTTTTGAGCGCTGAGGATTCTGTTGGGTCTCAGAAATCTAAACCCGATAAATGTGTACCTTCGATGAATCATTCAGACGGCAAAAGGTGGAAGAAATTCTGTCAGCCGAATAATTCTTCCGATGTATCACTTACTAAGTACAATAAATTAAGAGCGAGTGACTCTGACGTTATTGTCACGGTCAAAGATATCGTGAAGCAAATTAATAGTTATTCGGAATCATTAAATAAACAAACCCAACAAATCCAATAATTATTTAACGCTGTAATTTTTTTTTAACTTTTTTTAATTGTATATAATTTTCTGCTTTTAATGTCAATAATTTATAAAAGCCTTTTTTTTTTTTTGCTAAATCTATAAATGCTTGCGCTTTTCTGTAATAATTTTGTATTTTTTCAAACACTGTATTTTAAAATTGTACTTTTATTTTCAATAGAACATTTCTTTCTCTCTAATTTTTCTTTTTTTCATAACTAAATACCTATAATTATTTACCTATGAGTGGGGGATTAATTTATAAATAATAATTGATTTAAAATTACAGCAGAGAGACGAGCGCAATTGAATAGAAGCCGTTCGAGAACTGGACTCGTTGGTACTGGACTGATTGGCAGAGAATTATCAACGTAAATATTTATTTATTTAAATTTAAACACTTTCTTCTGACAAAGCAAAATTTTAAGACTATATTATTATATTAGAGGATGAATATTTATGTTTAAATTTTTTACAGAGAATTATTGAGCTCAGCGTAGCAAGAAACCAGATCATGTTAAATAAAACAAAACTGTGATGTAATAATAATTATTATGAAGAGGATTATTAATTTGGACGATGGTAATTAATTGTTTATTAATTTTAAACAAAAAATAATTACTAGCATTATGTTTTATTTAATGCTATTTGTTAAATAATATTAAGAACGATGAAGTTACTTCTTTTGACTATAAGAAGAAAAATGGCCTACGATATTTTGTACATTTTGCGACGGCCGATTAATCATCTAATGTTTTATATTCATTATGTACATTGACACTAAGATACTGTAAATTGTTATTATTTTTATACGTTAGATTTACTTTTAATTTCTACGATTGTGTTAAGTTTTATTTAAACGCACAAAATTTCTTATTAAAAATTCACTTTGGAAATTTATTACATAAATTAATATTTAAAAATAATTAATGACAAATAACATAAATTAAAATTTTATATCTTGTGAATTTTAATGTTTATAAATTTATAATCACAGTGTACATATTGCATTTTAGCGATACGTATAATTAAATTTAATTAATATTATTAGTCACAATAATAATTAAAATGATAATTATTTTATGATAGTGATAATGCATTTATGTATGTCAAACAAATATGAGTAATAATTTTTTAAAAGCCCGCTCGAGTGAATAAGATTAAGTAAATTATTACTTAATAAATAAGTTTAAATAAACGAGATTATATTTTTCGTACAAATAAAATAAATATTTTACGCTACAATACAATTATTTTTTTTTAATTGTATTGTAATAGAGGCATTGGTTTTTATTTTTATAACTAAGCTTTTTGGATTTAAAGAAAAACTTATCTGGACCAAGTGGCTGCCATTTAATCAAACAATTTTAATATTTATTAAATTGGAACCGATTTGTGCCAATTAAAATTTTTTAGATTAAAATTGCTCAGTTTTACACTTTATTTATTAACTAAAATATTGTAAAAAAATTCGACTGTACTAACAAAGATAAATAAACTTAAAAAACCAATCGAATATTATTTAGTTCTTTTTTTTTTAATAAATTTTATATGATAGTGAAGTTAGCTGACAGCTGTCAATTTTTATAAAAAATTAATTACAGTCAAAAAAATTCTAAAAATTTTTGTGGAGTTGTTTTATTAAATTTTTTTTACAATAATTTCACTGCTATAAAATTCTAAAAAAGTTTAACGGAAATTAACTTAGCAGACATTTATTAATTTAAAAAATTTTTTTTAACAAATAAATTATAGCAAAAACAATTAAAAGAAAAAATTCACATGTAGAAATTTTGAAAAATTAAAAATGCTATTTGGAACAAATTTGTTTGTTGAAAAAAAATTGTCAAGTGACTGCTAACTTTAATGTCATAAAATTCATAAAAGTTTATGAAAATTAATTTAGTAAATATTTCATAATAATAAGAATTGTTTTAGTAAATAAATTGTGGCAAAAAATAGACACATAGAAATTTTAATAAACTAGAATTCAAATTTACGCGCGCAAGCGCGCGCCTTGACTATAGAGTTTGCATATATTTTCATGCTTATGATATATTTGACCAATCACGTTACTACGAATAGTTTGATGCCACATACATTTCATCTCAATTTTATATTAGGACTAGAACTAGAATTTAATTTTCGCGCGCAAGCGCACGCCTCATATTTATTGTCATGATGTATTTATGTGTCGTTTATGTATATTATATTAACTTTCAACCAATCAGAATGAGAATATTTATTTTCAACCAATCACATCACGAATAGATTGGTTTCTCATACATTTCATCTCAATTTTATTATGGGACTAGAATTTAATTTTCGCGCGCAAGCGCGCGCCTTGACTATAGAGTTTGCATATATTTTCATGCTTATGATATATTCAACCAATCACGTTACGAATAGTTTGATGCCACATACATTTCATCTCAATTTTATATTAGGATATGGGACTAGAATTTGAATTTACGCGCGCAAGCGCGCGCTTTGACTATAGAGTTTGCATATATTTTCATGCTTATGATATATTCAATCAATCACGTTACGAATAGTTTGATGCCACATACATTTCATCTCAATTTTATATTAGGATTAAATTAAAAAATGGGATTTTTTTTAAATATTTTTTTGAAGCTAATTTGTTTTTCAAAAAAAATTAAAAAATGGTAACAGCTAAATTTAAAGTTATAAAAAATTTTTATAGTTAACTTCAGTGTCAAATTTTTTGCATAAATAAAAAAATATAAATCAAATAAAATACTTTGCTTTATTAATATAATAATAATAATAATTATTATTATTTTTAAAAAGTTAAAATAAAATTTCTAACTTACCATCATGTGACAAGTAAGTTTTGAAAGATAAAAATTTCTCTAACCTGAAAATTTTGACATTAGAGGTTCAGATGACATTTATTTAGTGATTCGTAAAATTTTTAATTCTTCATGCCAAAAAGTCTTATTATAATTTAAGTAATATTTTATTTTCTGCCAGTGCTCAAAAAACCTCCAAAAAACATTTGCCGTAAGTATAAAAATAATAAAACAAATCTTTAGTCGAATATTAATATATTTTAATAATCACGACTAGCAAAATCAATTAATCGCAAAACTTTACAGTGACAAGCAACCTTTGTTTATTCAGCAGTTAAAAAATTATATGATCCAAATATGGGTATTAATCATCAACAAAAAAAATCATCCATCACAAAAAGTAAAATTATATATTTATTTATTTAATTTACCAAATTTAATTATTATTATTATTATTAATATAAACTCTTGGTAATTTCTAGCACTGATAAATGTCAAAAAAGTAACAGAGTCGTAATGGCTGAAGAAAATGACAACCACTCAAAACCTCCGATAAATTTAATCAACGATGACTTGTTCGAGCTAAAATGCCTGATTAAAGCATCCGGAATCACCCAAAGCGCGCACTGTCAGATAGGCCGAAAGCAGCTCCTAGCCTTCACCACTCTCCACACGGACATTGGACTCTACTATCAGCCGGAGGGTAATAAGCAGTCAGTGATTAAAAGGATACCATGGTACCGAGCTCCAAACCGCACGATAGCAGCTCTTTGCTTCGACCCAACAGGCTCCTGGCTACTCACCGCAACTGTCGATGGCTCTTTGTATATTATTCCAGCGTTGGCTTTGCTGGACGACGAACATACGATAGACCACAAGTGGTCCATTGAGGATGCAACTCAATTGCCAATAGCAGATCATCAATCTTATTCCAAGTAAATATTTTTTTACAATATTTTAAATAATTTATTTATCAATTATTAATTTTTTTGGTGACATTTAAGTAAGTCACTTTTTTAATTTTTTTTTAATAAATTTGTACCAAAAAATTATTTTTAAAAAAATTGTATTTTTAATTTTTTTAAATTTCTGTCAATTTTTTTTTTGCCATAATTTGTTAAAAAAATTCTTAAAATTATCAAATATTTTCTGAATTAATTTTCATAATATTATGGCATTAGAGTTAGCAATCGCTTGATTATTTTTTAATTTTTTTTTTAACAAACAAATTTACTCCAAAAAATTATATTAAAAAAATTTAATTTTTAATTTCTATCAATTGTTTTTTGCCATAATTTGTTAGAAAACTTCTTAAAATTATCAAATATCTTCTAAATTAATTTTTATAATTTTATGACATTAAACTTAGCAATCACATGATTATATTTTAATTTTTTTTTAACAAACAAATTTCTTTCAAAAAATTATATATAAAAAAATTGAATTTTAATTTTTTAAAATTCTATCAACTTTTTTTTGCCACAATTTGTTAAAAAAATTTTTAAAACAATCAAATATTTCCAAATTAATTTTAATAATTTTATGACATCAATGTTAGCAGTAACTTGACTATTTTTTAATTTTTTTTTAATAAACAAATTTCTATCAAAAAAATTGAATTTTTAATTTTTAAAAATCTCTGTCAATTTTTTTTGCCATAATTTGTTAAAAAAAAATTCTTAAAATTATAAAAAATTTACTAAATAATTTTCTAATCTTTTTTTTAGACCTAGCGCATTAACCTGGTGGCAAGGAGTGACACAATGCAGCCACATCGGTATCATAGGTACGGAGGAAGGGGAGATAATTTTCGTGAACCTCGAAACCGGGCAGTGGATCGACTCGACGCGGGTCAACGGGAGTATTTCAAGCCTCTGCATCTGCAAGGACAACCACCTGGAGATCGTATCACTCTTAGTAACCTCGAAGACTCACCAGCAGTGGCGCATGATTCTCGAACAGCGTGCGAGCTGCGTGTTTCCCTCCAACCCGCGTACGAGCTCTTCATTTCACAGCAGGTACGACGAAGAGGCCAAGACACCTCCCAGGTCGCGGCTCCAGGGTCTCAAGCAGCTGTCCGTCGAAAAGCTGGCAATCATCAGACAGAAGCTAGCAGAGTCTCGGAACAAAAACACCGCAAATCGCCGCGACAGCGGAAGTAGCAGCGGCACTGACGAGTTGGAGGCATCTCCGAAGCTTCAGCCCCGAAACCGGGACACCTTGATCCTGGAGCCGCTGCTGGAGGATATCTACCTGTCCCCACAGTACACCAGGCAGGGCCAGCACCTTTACACGGCTTACTGCGCGAGCTCCAATCACATCACGATCCACGGTCCGGATATTTCAGTGGTGCCCAACTTTATGTACAAAATGCCGAATGTCTGTCCGGATATTCTGCTGACCCTCCAGTTGTTCTTCGTGATCGAGCCGCTGCGTAAGTCGCTCTGGGTCGTGTCCTCCAAGCTCTCCAAGACCAAAATTGGCGATGAAACTGATTACAACCAGGAAGCAACAGTCTCCAAGTTCAAATTTGAGGACACTAGAGAATTAATAAAGTCGGTTTACCGGTCCACAGAATCCGAGGACACTGACAGTCTCACCAGAGGAAGCAGCAGCGATTCCAAAGAAGATAAATCCGGTTTGCCCAGTAAAATAGATGATCTCAATATAAAATTACCACTAATAGATACTTGTATGATAGTAACTAATTACGGTGTATATAAAGTTGTTTTAAGAAAACCACTGCTGAACATCTTCATCGAACTGGCATTAAAAAAGCGGAAGGCTGACATTGAAAAAGCAGCGCGTCTTGGCTTAGTTTTCGGGCTGGACGTCCCCCAGCTCTTCGAAGCCGCTGGCGACATTCACCTGACCAACAACCGGTTCACTGAAGCAGCGGCACTCTACAAACTTTCACGCTGCCGCTTATTGAAAGGAGTCTTGAAAACAGCGGCTATAGGACACACTGCTAAGCTCCTGGGCTGCTTGACTCACTGTTTAACCCCTCCAGCGGTCTCAGAGTTGACCACGACTATCAGGATCCACCTGTCGAACCTCACTGTCTTCGCATTCAGCGAGCTGATCCTCAGGGCATCGCACCAGGAGTCAAAGTCGCTGTACAAAAAATTCCTAGCTTTTTTATCGAAAAATACCTTGTATGATGAACGATGGGTGGTTGATGTCGTAGGACAGACCTGTCTTTGGAAGGTTTTGCATCACCTGGCGACCCAAAGAGGTCTTTATACGCAAGTCTGCGAGGTCTTGATAAAAACAGTCCAGCCTTACAACCCTGTGAGCATAACCAACACTCCTTTGAGCACAAAATATGGACTTTTGATCTGCATAAGTGAGCCCAGCTTGCTCCAAGCGATGCTTGCTGCCCCAACACTGGCCAAAAGTCACACCTTATTTGTACTATCAAACCTCTCGGAGTTCCCAGCGTTTGTTCTCCAGCGACTGGTGACTCTCTACGACCCAACGAACCCAGTTTTTCGTACTCTGCTGGTCCGGTACCGCGCGAGACGTCGCACTACCTCCCACGGCTCCCAATCCAGCCAGTGCGACTCTTTGGACTCCTCAGACATGCTCGAAGAATCCGGGTCTTTTGTAGACGAAATTTTAGAAACATTTATCTTGATCCTCCTGACGTTGATCAGCAAACGCACGTCAATTTTGAAGCACAACCCGGGGCTGGTTGCTCGAACGACTCTTCCAGGAATAGAAAAGCGTTTCACAGACCCCACACCTCACATCGACTTCAAACGAAGATTACTAACAGCCGGGTACGGCCACGTGGCTCTGATAAGAAACGGGTGTGTTTACACCTGGGGAAGTTCTGCACAAGGCTGTCTGGGTACCGGGCCGACTGTGTCTCGCTACGGGCTTCCTCAAGCGATCACTGTCTTCAAGAACCTCGAGATGGAAGTCTTGAGCGTGTCTTGCGGACGCTGTCACACTTTAGCAGTGACCAACAACGGCGTCTACGCCTGGGGAGGGAGCCAGTTCGGGCAGCTGGGACTCGGGCGTTTGCTCCAGACTCCCAGTCCCGAGATGATCGTCTCCTTGGCCCAGGAAATAATCGTCGACGCAGTGGCGGGTCAGTATCACTCGGTAGCTCTGACTATGGACGGTCGAGTCTTCACCTGGGGCTGGGGAGTCCACGGGCAGCTGGGTCACGGTGATACTCTGCAGAAAAACACCCCAACAGTTGTTTCTTCTCTCCTAGGGACTATTATCCGCGGAGTCGCTGCTGGACACGCGCATACCCTGGCTCTGTCTGCTGAAGGTCAGGTCTACGCCTTCGGGTGCAACATTTTTGGACAACTCGGCACTGGGAACAATGTTAAGTCCTCAGTGCCTGCTGTGATTAATCTTCTGCCCGAGCCGATGGTAGATATCGCCTCCGGGTACTTTCACAACCTCGCTGTCAGTGCGACGAACAAACTCTACACCTGGGGGTCCAGCCCTCAGGTTCTGAGACTGCAAACTCAGGCCCAGAAGAAGACCAAGATGATGGAGTTCCAAGCAGCTGCTGAAAAATACGCGGAGAGCCTTGAAGATTTTGAGGCGATTGATGATGAAGCTAATGATAAATTGTCTTCTATTGAGAAGTTGGCTATCAAAACTGTCAATGAGAGAAAATTACTTTGCCCGAATGTCCCCAAGACAATAAGCCTGAGGGATATTAATTTGGGACTTCTGGAAGAAGCACAGACCCACTTGAAGCCGGTTGTTGTTGATACTAGCTTAGTTAATGGGAGGATTGTTCAGATTTCTACAGGGTGTCATCACTCGTCTCTGCTGACCAAGGACGGGACTGTCTACACCTGGGGGAGGAATTTCGACGGGCAGATCGGGAACGGGACTCGCAAAGACGTTCCTATCCCCACGGCGTTGCTCTACAATCCGGTTTCAGTCCTCGCTCCTCCGCCGAGAAACTCGGAGAATTATGAAGAGAGCAGTAAGAGGGTCATTAAAGCGGTACGTGTGTGCTGCGGGTGTGAATTTACCGTCGCGATCCAACCTGGCGGGACTGTCCTGGCCTGGGGCTCCTACAGCTCTGCCCAGCTTGGAAGACCTCCCAGCAAGGAAGCCAATAGCGGCAACGCGGAGAAACTTGTCTTGATAAAATCCTCCAAGAGGGTCGTCCGACTTCCTCATGGCGCTCACGTGGTCCAGGACACCCCTAGTCAAGTGCCAAATATTCCTACGCCGATTATCACTTACCAGAGCTACGACGTTACTCCTCTGGCAGGCAGAGTTCGTTCTTTGAGTCTTGTGGAGAAAACCTACGGGGAATTGACTCTACATTATGTTCTTGAACAGTTTAACGGACTGTACGACGCTGCTAAAATCATGGACAAGTGCGATGAGCTCGGGAACTATCAGGCCAGGTCTAAGCTAGCTTTGCTAGAGCAGAATTATTCTATCGCTCTGGCGTATCAGCTCAAGACTGTTAATCCTGAGTACTACATGCGACATGACTTCCAGGGTAATGAAATCAATCAGAGTAAAGTGACTTCCAGGGAGGTTAATAAAAAATTTAGGGATAATATTGAGTTGTTTGACAAGCAGGTGGAAAAAAATTTGGTTGAAACTATCGAGGAGTGCGAGGAGAAGAAAAAAATGAAGATGTCTATCAGTAGATCACTGGACAGCATCATTGTTGTTGAAGAACTTCACACTTTTGACTGTCAAGGTGGATCTGAGGACTTGTGTGAAGACACCAAGAGCGAAGATATCTCTCTGGACCTCACTGAGGACGCCCTGGATGATAATGAAGCTTTAAGGGATAAAAATATAAATATTAATCTTCCTAATAATAATAATAATAATAATAATAATAATAATCAAGAAAATTTAAACCAGAGCCAGGAAAAAAATTTAAAGTTGGATAATTTGGTAAATGACGCTTCAAATGTAATTAAATTTTACATAAATGAAATAGACGAAGGCGCTCAAAAAATAATGCGACAAATTTTGATGACTGTCTTTGATTTCTGGATAAAAAACCACCTGCCGATGGAGTGTCTGGAGAAGATACTGCTGGAGCACATCAACAAACTCTACTACTCGCTAGGTCTTCTGGTTTTTTGTCAGAGTCAGCTGAATGAAGAGGACACCAACAAAAATGAGTTCATGATAATAAATTATGTTTCTACAAACTTTTGCCTCCAGGTTTGTCAGATGCTGCTGCATCACATAGACACTGGCAAACCAGCGTTGGAGTACATTGAATTGCTCTCGCTGCTGACTGCGAAAAATTACGGGCCTGTGGGGTACGCCAAAGAGGGAAAGACTCCCGAGCAGATGATGGAGGGGATCATCAGCGCAATCTCCACGAAATCCAGCGACCCCAGACCTTTTATTCACATTAAGGATCCTGAAAAGGTATCCAGGTTCCTGGAGGCTGAAGAGGAGACCATTGTCTTCACGTGCGGTCACCATTTTCCCATGTCCATTTACCAGTCAGAAGTTATTCCCAGTATGGAAGCAGAGCTGCTGATGAGTCAGCCACTCTCTTTACCTTGTACTGCTCAAACGTTGGGCAATATGTTGAGCCGAGTTTGTAAAATGGAAATCATGTGTCCTCGATGCGTTCCTAGGGCCATACAGAACGCGGTTAAGAATCTCATGGATAGGTAGAACATTTGTTATTATTTTAAACTTACTAATTACTCTAACTAATTATTTTAAGGAGGTTTACAGTTTTTATTAATCCAATAACATTACTAATTTTTTTTTTTTTGGAAACTTCCTTGATTTAATTTAATTTAAATAATTTATTATATATATATATATATATATGGTAGATGATAATTAATTAATAATAATGATTAATGATTGTCTTTCACTTATGTACACTTTTATGACTGAGAAATAATTAAATTTTAGATAGATTTCTTGTAAAACATTTCTTCCGTGATTTTAAAAGGAGACGAAAAAAACGCACATATTATTATTGTTATTATTATTGGAGTAAAAAATCGTGATTATTATTTTATTTAATTAAATTTTGAATTTTTTTAGATCTCATAGATAAAATATATTGACTGAAGATATTTTAACTCCAGGAAGATTTTTTTTTAGGAAATTTTCTGGAAGAAATAGCTGGTAGTTAAATTACTGCTAAAGTATTATATTTGTTATGGATGTTTTAAGATTTATCTAAGTGGCACTAATGCCGTAATTTTGTTAAAGACTTTAGAGAAAATTTCCTGCTAAAAACTCCTGGGGGGTTTTCTTCGTAAAGTCAATAGTTTAGTTACACTTTTATTTCTTCTCGAGTAGAATAAATTTTTTTTTTTGTAAGTATATTATTATTTTTGTTATTATAAAAAAAAAAAGACTTAAATTATTGCCACGTGCAATTCTTTATAAATCGTATTATTGAAAAATTAAAAAATTATTTTATTATAAAAAAAAAAAATATATGTAACTAATATTTTAGTTAAAAATTTATAAATTTTATTTAGCAATTTATGCTCAATAGCTAATACGTAACTAGTCACGATGTAACAAAAAAAATTACGACAAATTAAATGTTTGTATCATCTCCAAATGAATTTACGTAAACTAATAAAAACTAATTGCAATTATCTATTGTATAAATTTATTAAAAAGATTATTAAGATATAGGATAATTAAAAAAACAAATACTAATTTACTGATTAAAAAGTTTTATGTACAATATTCTATTAAACAACTTACAATTAATAGTATCCTTAAATAAAAATAAAAAATAAAAAGGTAATACATGCACTATCGTTATTATTATAGTCACGCGTTAGTTGTTATCGTTATCAATGTAATAACAGTTAGAGATTTATCATCCTCACGATCATAGTCATCAGATCTCGGAGTTACCAAGGATCTCTGATCTCAATGGAGCGAGCTTGATATAAATTATAATTTATAATAATAATATATATAGAGTGTAGCCTCTCCTCGATATAAATCACTTGACTGAATAGTGGGATCCGATATTAGACGGCGGTCCTCTGTGATGATGATGATGGTGGTGCTTGTGTCCAGGGCCCGAGTACCTGCTGCCAGGGCGGGACTGGACGATCGCATAGTGATCACTGTTTGTTGATATTGATCTCGTTGAGTTCATAGTTGATCCTCCGGATGGATAACCGCCCGGTTTACCGTTCAGCGAGTATCTGCAACAAGTATTAACTATATAGATCTCCTGGTTAGTCATTGCTCTTACTCTTTATAAACAAATAAATAAATACAAACCCATCACCGACTCTTAGCTAACAAAATAAATTTATTTTAATGATACTAAAAGTAACCGACATCTGTCAATTAAGAAAATTATTTTGAAAATTTCCACGTCTAGAAATTAAAAAAATTAAAATTAAAATTTCAAGTGAAATTTTTTTTTTATAATTAATTTTTAATAAAAATAAAAAAAATTTCCAAATATCTGCTAATATAAGTTCAATTATTTTAATCAACAGACTTGTCAATTTTTTGAATGTCTCAATTTTTTTTTTGTCGACGTCTAAAATTTATAAAAAATTACAAGTTGAAATTTTTCAAAAAATTTCTTTTTTATATTTCATTTTTAATAAAAATTTTCAAATGTCTGCTGATTTCAAGTTTATTTTTTTAATTATAGTACAATAAAATAATATTAATAAAAAAATTTCACATAAAAGTTAATAAAAATTTTCAATAAAAATCAAAAAAATTTTCAAACATCTGCTGATTTAAGTTTCATAATTTTAATTATACTAAAATTAACCGACTTCCGTCAATTTTTTGGATTTAAAAAAAAATAAATAAAAAAATTTCACGTCCAAAAATTAAAATAAATTACTATTGAAAATTCAAAAAAAAAATTTTCCAATATCCGCTGATTTAAGGGGGTATTCTGGTCTAGAAATTTGAAAAATTCGAATTATTTTTTTTCGCATATCTGCAAAGTTTAGACCCTTAAAAATATGTCCTTGAGTGGATTTT